CGCCACGCAACAGATCGAGAGCGACTGGGTGCAGGCGCCGCTGGTGCGCTGCGACCCGGCGGCGTCACTGCTCACGATCCAGGGGGGCACCAACGGAGTGCTGGTGTGGACGACACCCTGCGCATCAACGGAGTTCTTGCCCCTGAGGCTTTCTGAGCCGGGCGGCACCAGCGGCGTGCAGGTGCTCAGCCCGCTACTGGAGTAGATTGCGGTGAGGCTCACCCATCGAGCCCAACACCGGCATGTCCCTGAATGGGAGGGTGATCTTCGATTATGATCACCTGAACGCCTTAGACGGCTCAAGAAGAACATCTGGTGCGTGCCGGACCAGCACGTCCGGCTCTTCGATGCAGTGGAGCCGCAGTACTACGACCGGATCGGTGAAGGCAATAAAAACAGCTTGGTTTCATTGCGCAGGACGTGCACTGGACTATTAGAAGCTTTCTGTGGTCCTGTGGAGCGTGGTGAAAGAGCTGCAAAGCGGGTAGAGAAGCTCGAGAAGAAGCGGGGCATCATTGAACAAACATGTCTTACGAAAAAGAAGACAGTGTGTTGGAAGCATCGTGGTCGCACTGGAGTCATCAGTCCACATGCTTGTGAAAAATACTCACTCTCGGCTTCTATGCACATGGCGGTGTCTTTGGCATTTTGAGAGCTTCTGAAATAAAACAAGCAGCGTGCATGGCCGTCAACCATTTTCTCAAAAAGATTTTCCGCGTCAAACCTGGACTTCCATTGCCGACTCTGCAATCGTCCGTCCATGCCTTTGCATCGCAATATCCTGAACATGAAAGGGCATGCAAACCACACCATTACTTTGGAAAACTTTATGGAAGGTCGCGTCTGGGTTGAAGATGAAAACGGACAAGCAACGACATTGCTGGAAAACGAGAATTTTCTTTGCAAATGCAGTTGTAAAGAAATTTAAAATCGCTTCGACGTTTCACATCGAGGCTCGTCTTCAAGCGAATCTAATGTCCGTGAAATGCAGTCGTAAACGAACTTATATCAAGCCAATTTGGATTGTGAAACGCAGTTTTCACAAGACACTGCGAAAATGTTGGAGCGGCGGAATGGGAGCCGACTTCTATTAGTTCCGCGACGTGAGATTCATGAGCATGTCTGTATGTTTGAGGCGTGTACGCGCCAAGAGCCCACATGTTTCCACGATGCTCTTTAAGTTGATTTTCAATCTTAAGTTGATGCCTCCGAGTCTCGCTGGGAACTGGAAAGCTTTCTCCTTTCTTTTTGAACTTTAGTCTAGTTGTAGTTCCTTGTAATTTTGTGCCATAGCTTTCAGGAAGCTTGTAGGGAAAAAGTGTCTGTCGGTTAGTCGCTGCGCTCACACTGTCTTTCTTTCGAACTTTGAAGTGTTAGAGTGCCGAAGTGCGAGTTTCAGAAGTTTTACCT